CTAGAGGATCCCCTCTTTGAAAACTTCAGAGACAAATACGAGGACGATAATTTCCAACCCCGGGTACATGCCGAGCTCATCCTTCTTGAGCGTTTCTACGTGCACGCATATCAGTTCGTCGACGGAGACAGGTATATTGGCTGCAGCAAGCCAGCGTGCTACTGCTGCTATTTGTATATCTGCGCACATCCAGGGGGGTTTATCAAGCCGCCCAGTCACAGCAAGAATTATACCAACTGGAGTCCGCCTGAGATTGATCCAGTGGGCTCAGTCGACCCAGTGAAACACCGACGTGACATCTTGAATAGTATGTGCAAAGAAATACGTGAAGATGTGTTGAGGCAGATCCAGGAACAACGGCCACAACGTGGTGCGCACCACGATTCGACGACGGGAATTACATACCAGGATTGGGTACAGTAAGATTGTCGCAAGAAGCGTAGTTTCTGGCATGTCGAAGATGTAGTTGAGTTGAACGCCGTTGTAATGCTTTACATCGTTAACAGTTTCTAGTGCTCTCATTTTGAGTAGGGGGGAGGGATTTGAGTATTTGAGTTTGCGCGAGGAAGGTTCGTGGAAGCGGACCAGGCATAGGAGGGAGGTGAGGGTTGTGAGGAAGATCTTGAGCTGTACATAGGACATGGATGACCCAGTGAGCGCAGGTACGCCTGCGACATTGCTACGCCTTCCATTACGGTGCCAAGTGGTTCTCAAAACCAGAACAGTCTATTAGAGTTTGAGCGCCTCAGGAATGATCTCTAGAATGATAAATCCAGTGAAAGTGCCATGAGAAGCGCCGAATCGAACGAGATTCCGCTGTTCAATTTATGGATTGATGAGCGAGAACTAGCGCGCTAATAACCATATAGAATCCCTGAACTGATAAAAAGAACATCGCGGTTAGCAAGATTGAGAGAATAAAATTGGAATAAAATGCTTCCTGTGACGTACATTTCTCCCACGGCCAAACAACGCGTAAATACCGAATATTGGCACGACGTTGATAAGACACTAGGCCTCTGAGCTCTAGGGTTTGAACTCTGCTCATACGACTCCAAGTCGCCGTCATTTGCCTGGGTTTTCATTTTTGCTCATTGACAGAAAAATTGATCAACCCTTCGTAGTGATTGACACCATCTGGCCTCCGATCTTTCCGAGCACACTCCGTTGTCAAGATTCCATATTGAAATTTTGAAGCTACTATATCGACGGTAAGAGGCGGGGCAGCCGATATCATGTGAACGACGCGTTTACGCGTTGCTTAGTGATGTTACTTCATAGATTCTGAAAGTCAACGTTCAACGCTGTAATTCGGTCAACCATCACCTCCATCCCTCAAGTACTTATACGAACGGATGCTGTCAGCCCGCTTACGACTGTGATCCTATGCGGTGGAAAGCTTGCACCGAAGTCCAGACATAAATTTCTCCACTGTTTCTCCGGATACCACCACTGACTCCACCTGAATCGTCTTGACCATATGGCCATCAGTCAACCACCTCCTTTAAGGAATAGAAGCGGGCTTATCAAGCCAGAATTGCCTCCACATCGC